AGTTGAACTGATATCAATTTAAAATTAAAAGAATAAACACTATTTTTATTATTCTTGATAACATATAGGTCAAAATATAGAAGAGATTTGCAATTAATTTTCCATTTATTTGCACTGAAATCAGCATTCCATTTTAAAGATCATGATTGTATGTTAAATCTAACTGGATCCAATAAAATACGGATTGGAAAACCAAGCTTTGTTCCTTCAGTCCTTACCCAGGAAATAGATCCCTCTGCCATACAGAAGACCAGCTAATTCAGGGAGATAATATATTTACTTTCAGAATCATATTTCAAATGGATTATGTAAATCATAATTTTATCTAGAAAACTATAGATTAGACAAAATTACTGAGCCACACCTGTTAATCTTTGAATTCAGGTATTTTCTGTCCCATTGCAACAGGTATAAAATATCAAGCACCCAGTCATTCAATCTGGCTTTACAAACATCTGTGAAAGAACTGATTATTGTTTTTATTATTAGTATTGTTATGATTAGGATGGCATTGTTGCAACAATGATTCCTCTGGCATTAACATCAGCATGAGAACTGTGCACTGGGAGCTTCACGGCATGAATTTCCATGTCTGAGCAGCTTCCATAAGGTTTAATGTGTAGGTGATCCATATTATGTACAGAGTCTTGCTTCCAAGATGTCTGAAGAGTAGGTTGAAAGGTTAGTATTTCCTACACCAGCTTATTCCAGGCATATGAATATACAATATTTGTCTTTAAAAACAAACACAGGTTGTTGTGTGTCAGCCTCTCTCTGCATCAGTATCACTGTTTTAGAGCACACATACTTAAAAAAAGAAGTGACAGGATATGAGTAATGTCAAGTATTCAAATTCCTTTATAATTCTCAATAGTAATAAAACTAAAAAAAACAAACAAATTAACTCGTGTTATGAGTATATTTCTTTACTTGAGTGTGAGTTTCTTTACCAAGACACTTGCACTATGCTTCTTTTCTTATTAATGAGCTCTCTATTCAGCACTGAGGACAGCTCACAACACTCACACACACAAACACACATACACAGTCTGAAGTTGCTGTCTGGTCAGGCTCAGCCTCAAAGCAGCACACTTAACAAAGGATCTGTCTGGTCTTCTAAAGGCGGGCTCTAGGCACACAGTACAAAGGCTAGGACTGAGACTTGATCAGAAGAA